GGTTAAACATAATAACGTCATCTATATTGTTTGTATATTATCTATGAACCGTACTGTATTCGAAGGGAAGCAGTTAGGTATCGATGAGAATTGATGCCTGATTATAAAGAACATCCTTTCTTTTTTTTTCCTGTTTTTTTTGGTTGGGCTGGTTACGATCAACACAATGTCAGTGGAATATATTAGCGAACTCAACATCTTCCCAAACTTAGTTCAATTTTCATTGAATATAACTCGCACGTTCTATATCTTCTTAAACTTAGATTAATTTGCATTTAATACAGCTTGCGAACTTTACATCTTCCTAAGTTTAGTTCAATTTGCATTGAATACAACTCGCGAACTCTACATCTTCCAAGCTTAGTTTAATTTTTATTGAATATAACTCGTGCACTCTACATCTTTCTGATCTTAATTCAATTTGTATGTAATACTACTCGCGAACTCTACATCTTCCTAGACTTAATTTAATTTGTATGGAATATAACTTACGTACTCTACTTTCTGTCAAATTCTATAGTTACAAAAATAAACAAGTTTCCTTTAATTTTTTTAAAAATTATGTCAAAATAACAAGTCTTTCAAACTTAGTTTAATTTTGCCTGACACATATGCGTTTGAAATATTTCTTTAATTTTTTTTCCCATCTATTAACTATCTCAATGTATAAAACAATTGAGATGATGTGTCTTTCAGATGTTGAAATGAAACGAAAAAAATATATATCTCTTGTTGGGTTCTCTTTCGCTTAGTATTGTTCTTTCTCTAAGTGGTACATATTCGTTTTCTTTTTTTTTGCTATTAATCTATTTTTTTTGGCTCGTATTATTCTTGTTATTATGAATACAACGCATATTTTACATATAAGAACTAAACAATGATTTGCGTTTATAGTACGGATGTAATAATAGTAAGCAATGTTATGTAAAATGCCGCATTTGCTCAACATATGAAACGACTAACAAAATTTTTTTCGTTGATAGAAATTGGTTTTGGAAATAAGATTCTTTACTTATAGGCAAATGCTCGAAATGTGAAAGTAGTTATGAAAAAAAATCGTTAAATAGTCGATTAACTTTAGATGAATTGTTCTGATGCTGATACATCAGCGTAAGTGAAGTTTTTTGTAACTTCGTAGGAAGTAGCTATTGAAGAAAAACTTGAGTTGTGCTAGATCAAATACAACAGAATAATCGTTTTTTTTTGTAATGAAAGGGAAAGAATAAAGATTACCAAACAAGTGAGACAGCTTCTATCAATATATCGCATCGTACAAATTAACAATTTGATCTATGGAAGTGTTCGTAGTTATTTTGTATGATCTTATAAGTGAGATTTTCGGGAAAAAAATCATTGCACGATGATCGACATTATGTATGTAGATTCTTCAAAGTAAATCAGTCAAACATAAGTTGAAGAATTTTCAAATCGAATAACATACACAACAGTCAGAAGAACACTCAAGTGTTCTATAATAAAAGACAAATAAAATCATTACTCTTATTTTCAATTCTAAAAACAAGAGAAAACATCTCACGAACGATTATTAAAAATTTTTCTTCATATTACTCATGCATTTGAAATAAGCCAAAATAATATCTACAAATAATTCATATAATTACATGAGAATACAAATCTGTTTAATTATAAACGCTACATTTTTATCTTACGTTTATGTTAATTCAATCATTCTCTACTAGATACTATGGCACATGCATAAAGACATATAAACTAAGGGTCGTTGAATGAATAAGATCATTCTAAAAAAAATCACTTAGATATTAATAAATCGATATTTAAATTTGTAAAGGTAGTCGACCATTTTGCTAGTTGTGAGTCAGAAACAAGTATTATCTCATCACTTACATACGTTGCTTTATTGTTTGAAGCTCCGGAGACATATACATAAAAGAACGTGTAAAGGGAAAAGATTTCAGTAGAAGAGTGTAAAGAGAAAAACTCATAAAAGAGAGTTCGAGAAAGTACATAAGGGATCAATACAGAACGAAATACATTATCTAACAAATTAATGCTTGATTAAGTTTGAATTATAACAATAATTATCCAGTTCGCAATAACATAGGCACCATTACAACAGTCATGTCATATTTTTGTTCATGAAATGTCCATTCTCAACATCTTTTTTTGTCACTTTTTAATTGGGTCATTGAATTTTTTGCTTAATAAATTCGAAGATACAACGATTATTTCATATAGCTTTACATGAACGAGATTATCATATGTGACGATGACACAATGACCAAAGCCAAAGAACTAGTTAAAATGCTAGGCACAGTATGATAATCATTCTGGAGTTGTTTTTACTTTCTCGACATGCAATTCGAGTAGCTATTTCATGTTGCAATGATCTAAAAATGGGAAAGTTGTAAAATATTCGTTCAAACGTTTTGATAGAGTCCAATGTTTCTATATAATCACTTTTCTCTCGAAACTTCGATATGAAGCTTCGTTTGTTCTCAATTTATTCCAAAAAATGATGACTTTGAAATGAAAACTCTTCTTTTTTCGAGATAATCAAAAGGAGTTTCAGCAGCAACAGTTATTAGATCGAATGTTGCCGTCATCTTCAGAAATGTTCGTTATATCGAAGGTCGATAACTGAAATTTAAAATGTATTCATCAGTCTTGTATTTTAAACGATACTTAAATCGTTATGACTACGCATGAATATAATTAATTTTATTTACTTTCTGCCTCATAAAAGCTGTTGAACATTGTTTGAGGGCTCACAGTGCTAGCCATGCATATGTCTATTTCCTATTGATTAGACGAAAATCATATCACAGGTTTTTTTGTTTTCAAAGACAGTTCAAAAGTTAATTTTACATGATTGATTGCTTGTGCATTTTTTCTAGTTTCATAGACTTAAAATTTCTTTATATAATTGCCAGTAAAAGCATAGATTCAATTCAAAATAATTCAATAAAATTTGTATTCACTGTTCTATCACAATTCATGATTTTTATTGATTTGACGATACAATCGACTTCGATTTCTTAGCTAATATACAGAGTGTCCAGAAAGTCATGAAACAGACACTAAAAATTGAATATCTCTACCGCAGTCTAATCAAATAAGTTGTTTTTTTCTGAGAATAGAGAACAGTTTTGGATTTTTATTCATATATAACTAGCTTATTCTTTCTTATATTCTACATCTTTTTCATTTCTTTCAAGACCAAAACAAACATACAAGCTTCTTCCAAATAAAAAAAAACATTCTGTGTTCCGGGAACCATATGCTACAATTTTTGAGCTTCTAGACCGAATCGAACAAGCCTGTAAACGGGTGGCAAGCGAAATGTGTCGCACAGCATGCCGTTCTGTTGAGCGACGTGTTCGTGATTGTTTAGACACCGAAGGATAATTTCTTTCGAACTAGTTTTGTTGCATTGTATATGAGATATATTAGTTATTTAACGATATGTAGTGCACGAGTTCAGTGGTACTGTTTTCATATGAATGAATAAGTTGTTCATTAATGAATGAAAACTTGGAACTATCCTCTATTCTCAGAAAAAAATCAGCTCATTGGATTACAGCGCGGTGGAGATATTCAATTTTTGGTGTCCGTTTTGTGACTTTCTGGACACTCTGTAGAATATTATGTTGCTCAACTAACCACAATCACAATATTGGACTAACTCGTGAATATTGATATTTGCCTGAATCTTTATAATACCTTGGAGAAAAACAACTATTGTGACTATAATTCCCATCAGTAAATCATATCCGAACGTAGAGACTGCAGTTACAGTATTATGTTCATGCTAAATCATTCGATTCGGATTTCATATCAGCAGCAATGAGTAGATGTTTAGTGAGTGTATCATCGATTTGAATAGATATGTTTTTTACTGATGCAATATAATCGAATGAAGTTTTCAATGAAAAATTAAGTGTAGCATTTATTACATTAAACACTTTATTAGAGAATCTCTTTGACTGTGAAGTACGATTGCCATTTCAGGTTCCAAATAATATATTATGATCGTCTAATGAATAATTTTTCTGATTGTCCTTCTGAAATAAAGAAGGTGTACAATTGGTACTATTCCAACAAAGAAAAGTATTCTCGTCAGATAAATTATAGTTCTCAATTCGTCAGTGTTAAACCCCTTAGCTGTTAAAATTTTTTTTGACACTAAATAGTAAACTTTTTGCGACATAACTTTTAGCAACTCACAGACATTTAAGGATAATACAAAATTTCTGTGACAAATATGTTTTATGATTTTATTTAGAAAACAGAAGTTGTTTTTTCGATAACAAAGCTCAAAAAAAAACACTTAATCTTACAAGTGTTTTCGAAATTCAAAGTTTCATTCAAAAGTGCAGTAGGGCATGGTACATACGAAAACATGGATCAACATAAAGTGCAACAGTACAAATTGTACATTCGTATCTCAATTCACGACTTGTGCGATTTATAGAGTAGTAATAACCAATTCAATAATAATATTTAAAGAGCGAATTCGCACTGAATATAAATAATGATACAATTGATATAGAAAAACATAACCGATATGAAACACCAGAACTGGTAGAGTCGATAAAGATTGGTTGACGAATATATTCATCAATAACAGCTAAGATGTTAACAGAAAAATAAACTTATATTTTTATTTATAACTGAGATAACAAAATGAAAACAATTAGGT